GGTGTAGCGCAACCTGACTGCCCTCTGCATGAGGTGATCTTCTCCTCTTCGTAGACGGTGGGAGCTAAGGAACCTGCGAGAACTGAATCAGAGGACCCGGGGGTGTTTACCCGGCGGGGACTCTCCGATGCTTAAATTAGCAATCTGATTGTAGAGAGCTTGAAGATGATATTAGAGAAATGAGAGAGCTAGAGAGTAGGGATTACCTCCATTTTTCCATCCCCCTTTTCCCTAGGGGGGTGAGGTCTTTATTTACCAGGGCTGAGCTGGTGGGCGCAGGTAACCGTTGCAGGGTACGGTCCTGTCAGGTAGTAAGCAACCACCAGAGCTGGCAGGTACGGGTGCCGTTAGGTGAGAGGCGTAGGTACAGTCTTCTGGTACGGATGTCAGACGGAATGCTTCTCGTGAGGCCTCGGATGAGCTCCTTGGTGATGAGCTCCAAGCTACTTGGTGGTGAGCTCCTTGGTGATGAGCTCCGAGCTGCCTAGTGGCGAGCTCCTTGGTGATGAGCTCCGAGCTGCCTGGTGGTGAGCTCCTTGGTGATGAGCTCCGGGCTGCCTGGTGGCGAGCTCCTTGGTGATGAGCTCCGAGCTACCTGGTGGCGAGCTCCTTGGAGAGCTGCCTAGCTCCTTGGTGGTGAGCTCCTTGGAGAGCTGCCTAGCTCCTTGGTGGTGAGCTCCTTGGTGAGTTGTCGAGCTCTTTGGCGAGTTCCTTGGTGAGCTGCCTAGCTCCTTGGTGGCGAGCTCCTTGGTGGTGAGCTGCTTGGTGAGTTCCTTGGTGAGCTGCCGTGCTCCTTGGCGAGCTCCTTAGAGAGCTGCCTAGCTCCTTGGTGGTGAGCTCCTTGGTGAGCTGCCGAGCTCCTTGGCGGGTTCCTTGGTGAGCTGCCGAGCTCCTTGACGAGCTCCTTGGAGAGCTGCCTAGCTCTTTGGTGGCGAGCTCCTTAGCGAGCTCCTTGGCTGTTATGAGATACCAGGTGTCATAATTTCATTGGAGGGCCAAATCCGCCCTCATCATTTGCCCCCCACTCCCGAGTTTAGAGTAACTCGGCGAAGGGAGTAGATTTCTCCTTTTGGCCCGTAAGTTAACGAGCTAGTAAGTGCTGATCTAATTTCTTAGGCTCTGGGCTGCCTGTAAGTGGCAAGCTGCCTGTAAGTGGTGAGCTGCCTATAAGGTGAGGAGGTCTCCGTCAGTTCAGTACTATGTAGCCCTTAGGCTCTGGGGGACAACTTATAGTCCACTTTTGCCAATTTTGCCCATGCTGAAGAAGCGACTGGGTCTTAAGCAATAATGTGGCCTGTAGGCTTTCGGAGCGACTCATAGTCCACTCTTCTTGACTTTGCCCATGCCGGAGAGGCAACTAGGTCTTAAGCGGTTGTGTTGCCCATGCCGTAGAGGCGACTGGGTTTTTCAGCAGTAATGTGGCCTGTAGGCTTTGGGAGCGACTCGTAGTCCACTCTTCTTGACTTTGCCCATGCCGAAGAGGCAACTGGGTCTTAAGTAGTTGTGTCGAGGTCTCTGCCTATGAGGTGCCAAGCTGACCAGGTGTCGAGCTACCTGTGAGTGTCGGGCTGACCGGGTGTCGAGCTACCTATAAGGTGCCGAGCTGACCAGGTGTCGAGCTACCTATGAGGTGTCGGGCTGACTGGGTGTCGAGCTGCTTGTGAGGTGCCGAGCTACCTGTGAGGTGTTAGGCTTACCGGCTGCCGAGCTACCTGTGAGGTGCCGAGCTACATATGAGGTGTCGGGCTGACCGGGTGCCAAGCTGAACAGGTGGCTGAGCTGCCTGTGAGGTGCCGAGCTACCTGTGAGGTGTCAGGCTGACCGGGTGCCGAGCTACCTTTGATTGCGTTGCATCAGCCTCGTAATGCCAGCCATCCATTCGGCCATTCCCACAAGAAGCTACTAGGAGCTCGACCTTCGGGGGCAGCACTACTAACTTTAGGTCACCAGTTCACACGGGAGCCTTGGAAGGCTCGACCAGCAAGGGCGCCTATGCAGCCTATTGGCCGCCAACTCCCGCGGAAGCCACGAAGAGCTCATCTTTGTAGAGGGGACCTTGCGAAGAGGACTGATGAAGTTTTATCTGAATTGAAGGTAAAGTTGGTAGAGCTGCTTAATCTGTTAGCTCCCTACATAGTCTTTGAGTTCATAAAAAATGGAAACTAAAAAGTTTGAGCTTCGGTTTCTAAAGAGTGAGGACTTAGCTTTCTGGGAGAAGAGGACTTAGCTTTTTGTAGGATGAGAACTTAGCTTTTTGTAGCGTTTTCCCCCAGACGACGCCAATTGATGTAACCGTTCCTAGTCAAGTACTAATTTTTTTGTGATGTATCACTTTTTTTGGCTAAGTATCTCGTCATTTGACCTGCTCCCAGGTGACCTGTGACTCAGAGGATGGTGGAGCTCCTTGGTGGTGAACTGCCTGGGGGAGAGCTACTTGGTGGCGAGCTCCCTAGTGGTGAGCTACCTTGGTGAGCTCGTCATTTGACCTGCTCCCAGGTGGCCTGTGACTCAGAGGATGGTGGAGCTCCCTAGTGTAGTGCAACCCGACTGCCCTCTGCATGAGGTGATCTTCTCCTCTTCGTAGACGGTGGGAGCTGAGGAACCTGCGAGAACTGAATCAGAGGACCCAGGGGTGTTTATCCATCGGGGACTCTCCGATGCTTAAGTTAGCATTCTGATTGTAGAGAGTTTGAAGATGATATTAGAGAAATGAGAGAGCTAGAGAGTAGGGATTACCTCCATTTTTCCATCCCCCTTTTCCTTGGGGGGTGAGGTCTTTATATACTGGTGATCTGACATGTAACTGCCTCTGATTCTCTACCACAGCCGTTATTTTCCAGGGCTGAGCTAGTGGGCGCAGGTAACCGTTGCAGTGTATGGTCCTGTCAGGCAGTAAGCAACCACCAGAGCTGGTAGGTACGGTGCCATCAGGCGAGAGGCGTGGGTACAGTCTTCTGGTACGGCTGTCAGACGGAATGCTTCTCGTGAGGCCCCGGACGAACTCCTTGGTGATGAGCTCCGAGTTGTCTGGTGGCGAGCTCCTTGGTGAAGAGCTCCGAGCTGCCTGGTGGCGAGCATCTTCCATTGGTATGTTGCAGCCTCTGTAATGGTATGTTGCAGCATAAAAAAGGTAATTGTATGAGAGTTCTGAGCAGAGATGTCTCCACTCTAGACAGCCTTTGTAATGGCACGCTACCTAATACATCATCATAGACGGCCTCTGTAATGGTATGTTGCAGCCGACAACCTCTGTAACCTCTGCTCGTTCTCTCATGATCAGGTGCATCTTCCATTGGTTAAACACTACACCAATCCAGACAAATTCATCTGCAATGCAGTTAAGTTCCACCGATATCCAGCTAATCTGAATTAGAATGTATGAAAGAATATCTTATATCGATGAGATACAGATAATGAAAAATTGAAAGTCTCCATGAACCCTTCCATTTTCTGTCTAATAACAATGGCTGAAAGATTGAATCCCCTTCAACTACCAAAATGATAATTCACAACCCCTTAGCAAACAGTAATTACTCTGTCCTTGTAGAAATAGAATCCTTGTCACTCACAGGGCAACTGAAACGCCCTCTCTGTCATTGAACACCTTCTATCCCCTSCCCCCTCCCACCCAAAAGAGAGAGAAATAAAAGTCAGCTGACTCCAGGCCTCCTATATGTTTCAGGTTTCAATTCACATCATAATTTAAACAAGTATGTTGCCTTTAAATTTATTTGTATGTTATATAGTTATTGTAGAGCCTTTTAGCTGTTGTAGATCCATTACCGAAAAGGAGAAAAACAACTATTCTCGATCCTTATCATAGAGTCAAGGTAGTTCCTTTAAATTTTCTACGTGGTTAGCAGGTTGGATTGATTGCTAGATGGTCTTGACCATTTTAACAACACAATTGAATTGCTGTGGCCATGGGTCCACCCTTGGTGCTTGAGGGTATTGTGTTCTCCTTTGCAAATCCAACTCTGGTGCCTACATGCTGAAGCCTAGAGCATCACATAGATTGGGTTCTCCTTGTTCATCAGATTGCTGTAACCACAGGTCCACTTTTAATGTTTATGGGCCAGGATCCAGAGTCATTGGATATGATGCCATTATTCATGCTGATGTTGTTGATCTATTTCAACAGTATTTTCAGCCATTGGATTTAAACTTTTAGGCCAAATATTATAAAACAATCATCTAATTAATCTGAACCATTTAATAAGCATCGTTATATAATTTGGTATGATATTCGCATGCATCATCTTACGGGATAATGTATGCACATACATGAAAAACAGTGATGAAAAATCACCTTACCAAATAACATAGTATTGTTCACTGCCTACATGACAGAAACACTCCCAAATAAAATCAATGTGCTTTTTAGTGAAAAACGGGTCTTGAAAGTATGGACGTTTTTTCTTGAAAATCAGACCCAAAAACGTCCACACTTCCAAACACCATGTATGTTAGAAAGTTAAAGAGATACGATTGTAATTACCAAGCTTCAAGAGATATTTAAATAAATTATTATTATTATTATTATTATTGAAAACCAAGTTTCCAAAGAACATATTTATTTATTTTTGTATGATGAAAAAGAATAAATTCCACAAATAGACATTGGACTCAACTTTAGAATCGTCAGAAACAGAACCTATTCTGAAATTAACCTTCACAAAATAGGTTCTGATTCGAAACACTTGAACTGAGGATGGGGTTGGTTCCAAGTTTTACCGAACCGAATCGAACTGATCCTTATTCACCACTGTATATGCAACCCAATTATAAAAGATTATTTTCAAAAAAAATCGTACGGATCCTTATTAATAAAAGTTGATTTAAGTTATTATATTGTAAAAAGAAAAAAAAAAGAAAAAAGTTATTCTGTTCTGTACTACCTACCGACTTGTTAATGTTATTACTTTTTCTTTTGAAAAGAAGAGTAATGCAAGGTATCTTCGTGGAAAGGATTTCTTCTTCTTTTTCTTTCTTAGAATGAAAGTAATCTCTCTCTCTCTCAACTGGGTTTAGAAGATAAAATTGAAATTATGCTCTAGATATTTGGCTCAGAGAAAGAAGATTAGTTGTGGCTTAATCGTTTGGGTGTTTCTCTCTCAAGTTTTCAACTATCATCTCTACGATCGAAAGAACACAAAGGCCACCAGGTTTTTCATTTTCACCTCTTTTTCTTCTTTCTGTAGCCTGTATGTTTCTGACTTTAGATTAGTTTCAATTTGCTTTAATATTTTAGTTTGAGAAGATTTGTATGAGATGCTCAGGAGAATTGTCGAGCCCATGCTGCTCTGAACAAGTTGGGATCGATTGTGAAATACTAATTGTCCATTCTTTAATGAACTACTATTTTGTTATATTTATTAACTTTGATCTTTGATGGTACGAAAGTGGCAGAGTGAATTTGAAGGAACAATAGATATAAGTCATATTAGTTAATAAAATTGATTAGATAAAATGGAATATTAAGGCTATGTTTTCTGGTTTGATGGAAAATGAGAAGAAGGAAAGTTCTCAGGGAATTTCACAGAATGTGTTAAAATTCTCTCATATTTTCACTCAAACCAAACATAGCTTAAAAGCTCTACGGTAAGTAGTTGGAATTTCCTGGCACCTTCTCAAGTTGACTTGGTTGACTTGATGAGTTATAATAGAGCGAGTTTAATTATTGAGTCGGCTCAAAATCAATATACCATGGGATAGAGTTTTGTCTATTTTTTGTTTTTGTTTGTTTCATGAATTTTAAACTGTCCCAGAAAAATGAATTTTAAATTATATTGTTCCAGCGCTAAATATTTTCAAATTAATTGGTTTCCAAAAATTAAGAGAAGAATTAAAAAAAAAAAGAAAAAATGTAATTTTCCATGTGGCACTTTAATTGGAGTCGGAAAAGGCTCATGACTCCACCATTGTAGCATGAAAGGCTTGGTTGTAGTCATCGTTTTTGAACCGCCGTTGATCTGGACGGTCAGACCATTTAGCCTGGGAACCGTTCAGGCAGTCAGTTCCGTTTTATCTCAAATTCAGTCCCTGGCCAAAAACCGTTGAATCGGTCAATAATCCATTGACCCAGGTCGTCAAACCGTCGATCCATTGATCCATTCAATGGTTTTTGGTCGTTTTTTATTATTTATATTTTATTGTCAGAACAGGCTATTTGGTCGAACCATCAACCCAGAAACTGATGACCAAAATGGTTCTGTTTTCAGATCGGTTTTTAAAACCATGATTTTAGTGCTTCCTATACATGACATGTTATCATGGATATGGGTAGAAGAATAATTTTAATTAGGGTAAATGACTTAAATCTCCCTTCAATTTTCATATAAATACTGAAACCTCCCATCTCTTTATAAAATGGACTAATAGTTACTTCCCTATTAAGATTTGATTACACGAGCATTAATATTGAAAATTTAATGATATAACAAATATAAAAGAGACCTTTTTAATGATTCTGTTGGATATAAGTAAGACAGGGGAGGTAAGTTTCAGCATAAGTCTCATTTTGACCCAGTTCTTTTTTACTGAGATTAATTATCCATTTTCTTTTATTTTTCAGATAAATAAGATAATGACCATTTTAGTCATAAAAAGTCATTATTAAAAGGGGTAATTTTGTCCTATCTAAGTGTTGGCAATTTGTTTTCAGATAGGAAAGTTTCTTATCCATGCCCAGGGAAAGCAAATTTTCCGTAAATCCTACAAAAATCTGAAAAAAAGAACATAAATATCTTGATCAATGAGAACCAAAATCCCATTAACCAACTCTATCGAATTCAAAAAAAAAAACCCTAAAAAAAAGAAATCACCAGGGGGTATTATGTCTTTCTTACGATTTAGTCTTTTTTTTTCCCTACTTTTGAATTAGAAATGAACTGCCAATTTTGATATCTATATACCATATACCAATATCATAGTTTTATACTCCCATTATGTGTATTTTGATATTTCAGTCACATTGCCCCGGAGAATCGGACTATTTAAAGAACATCTTACTGATTTGGTGCTTCTAATAGCTTAATTGATTTTTCAAGTTGGGAATCTCAACGATGAGCTCTACAAAGGCAAATACAAGGTTTTTTTTTTCTATACTTACCTCTCTTTCTTCATGCTTGTAATTGGTTAAATCTGAATTAGCTTTTTCTAAGTCGATTTATGAAACAACCTCATAAGTTTGTATGTTTTTAATAGAAAGGCCACATTACTTGAATATACCCTGTGGGTTAAATATTTAAGTGTTAAGATTGAGTGAAAAATTAAGTGGCAAATAAAAAATGCCATTGATTGTTAAGGTGGTAATAATGCTCAAACACTGTTTAGGATGTGAATCAATAATGAAGAAGAAGGAGAAGAAGATAACAGGAGGGGCAATTGGAGGTGAGATGGGGTTTGGGTTTTACTGTTTAAAAAGGGTATTTTCAGTCATTGAGGAACATACAACCCTAAATAACCCTAAATGTAGGGGTGTAAACGGATCAAATTCGAATCAGATCAGGTAATATCCGAATTCGAATCCGCTTAGAAATTTTGATATCCAAATTCGATTCAATACCAGATGGATATTAAAAATTAATATCCAAATTCAGATCTGATTAAATATTCGAATTTGATTAATTAATTATTTTAGATAATTAATAAATATATAAAATAAATATTTTATTGATATAAAACATATAAATATCTAAATTGTTTATGTAACTTAATTATTATATATAAAATATTTTATATATTATATATAAGAATTAAATAATCGGTTGAATTCGGATATTTATCGAATCGAATCAGGTCATATTCGAATTTGAATGATTAGATATTTGAATTCGATTTGATTACATCGAATATCGAATTCAAAATTGGATTTTCAAATACCGTTGACACCCCTACCTAAATGTTTTACTAATAGAGGGCCTATTTGTGTCAAATGGACCACCTAACAAGATACATTTAAGTAGTTTTGGAAACCACAATTTGCGTCCGTTCTACCCAAAGCCCAAGCCCGTATCAAAACTTCTCTTTGTCTATTTTCTTTCAATTAAAAAAAAAATTCAATTACATATTAGATGAAACCAATGGCTTCAAAATGCACGTTAGCACACAAGAAGTGAATGATTTGAGATGTAAAACTTAGCACACAAGAAGTGAAGGTTCAAATGAGACTTTTACATACAATCCTAGATGATGATGGTTGTCATCACAAGAGACGTAGATACACTTGCAAAAAATTGACCCAATCTGCAAACCCAACATGTTGATCAAATATGAAAAAACAATGTTAGGGTCTCAAATCTAGATAATATAAAATTGAGAATGACCCCACCCGATCTGACCCCTTTTTAAAGGTTGGATCCGGTTCGGTCATGAATCAACCTGGTGACCTGATTGGTAAGTCTAATTGGGACTATTTATATATTATTAAAAGTTTTCACTCTTTAATCTCTATTATTTAGTCTTTATTCTTTATTTTTTATGTTTGAAATTTTAAGGTTAATTCCTTTAATTTTTTACATTTTTATATATTTTTTTTTTATTTTTTTTGAAATCTCAGTTACTTTTAAATTGACCCAAATTGACTAATGGATCAACCCTAACACAAACATTTAGGGTCGGGTCTAGATTTTTCCAACCCAACCCGAAGATCGGCCCGGCACAAATTCAACGTGAAAGTGTCATGACCGTTACACCCAATCCGATTGGCAGGTCTAACCTAGATGATGCTTCCGTATCCTAATTCCCAGTTTTTAACGTATGGGTGATTCAAAAACTGATACATGTGTACAATATGCACCAACACGTATGATATGAACCATGGATTGGAGCAACGCAAATTGAGCGTTTGACAAAATAGAAGTTCCCTTATGGGTGGTTCCGAATTCGATCCAAATCAGATGCAAAGATCGGATCTTACGAATATTGATTTGAATTCGAATATGATGAGAAAGTCAGATATTTGGATCTGATTTTATTCGATTTAATTTAAAAAATTAATAAATTATTAAAAAATAAAATATAATAATTTAAATATAAAAAAACAAAAAAAATACAAGTATGGCTTTAACTATTTTTGTTATATATACATATTTTTATAAAAAATAAATAATAAACAAATTTACACAAATGGAATATAAATAACAAATTTATAAATAAATAATATATATATATATATATATGTGTGTGTGTGTTATATAAATAAATAAATAACATTGAAAACATGGCAAGGACGTATATCTGCTACACTTAACATTGAGATGAGTCTCGAATCCAATTAACCTCTTCCATCCAAGGCCCAACTATCTTGGGCCTTAAACCGACTTCTTTGAACCAATTTGAAAAAAAAAAAAAAAGTAACAAAATAGAATAAAATGCAGCATGATAGAAGCCGATATACTAGAATAAATCTTGGATCTAGCACTATCTGCTATATTCTTCTAGTATAATAATGGTAAAAAGAAAAAAAAAAATTAAAAAGATTATGACTTTTACTAGCAGACTACCTTAGTTGCAGAATACACACTATTTAATTAGAGTCGTAAATTAGCTGATAATAAAATAGCCAATCTTGAGTTAGTAGCCCTAGAGGCTATAAAACCATGGCGAAGAATATTTTGCCTAAACCCTCCACACCACCACTTGTGTTTCTTGCTTCCAACAAGATTCCCAGCCCTGAACAGTAGAAACCACCCCATTATTGTCCGCCAACCACCTCACCTGATCTTCTCCATGACCTGGAACCCTCTAAAGTTGATCCAAACCCTGCCATGTTTCCATCAAATGGGATGGACATGTTCTCACCTTGCATCCACTGTTCTCTCTTGCGATGGAATTCACAGAAATAGATCTATGGAGGCTAAAGCCATACCTAACTCTTTTCCAAATATTTTCAACAAAATGCCCAAGAGATGCCACTTATCCAACCATAATTTAGTCCTCTGCCTATTGTCAATATAATGCTTTATACATTTTTTTATGCCAATATAATGCTTTATACATGATTCAACAGGCCTTTATACTTCAATATATCTTCCTCCAAACCCATGAACAGTCCTTTCGGTAGGATTAGTATAAATGGAATCTTCTTTTAGACAAGGTTCAAAATATGGATACATTCGATGTGTCGGTCGGTAGAGGCGTATCGGAGTGTATTGATCACTATTTAGTTTTTTTTTTTTTTAATTCCGGTTCAGAGGGGTCGGTTTAAGGTTTATCCACCCTTGAACCGGTCGAGACCCCGAAACACCTCATGTAGGAGCGTATCGAGAAGCCCTTGATATGATATGTATTGGCCGGTATGGCCCAATATATATCAATACAATGAGCTAGTTTTGACCCTAGTCAAGCTTAGCACCTATGAGGTTATAGCCCAAGTCCGAGCCTAACCTAGCCCAAACCTCAAGCCACCTCAAGCCTAAAATGTAAGCCTAGGCTTAGTAGGCTCTATTGTGGGCTTAAGCCAAGGCCAGTCCCTAGAGATTAGTTTATTTATTTATTTTTAATATATTAAACATTTAATATTATATTAAATATTGTGTTTTTAATATTATTTTTTAAATTAGTTCGACCATGATGCCAAAAAGACATTATACCGGAAAAACTTAAATCAAACGGCATCATAGAAGTGGTAATCAATTGGGTGGGTTTCTATAAAAATTCATAGTAGGTATTGATTGGTGAAGCCTTTTTAGTATCATACTTTTTTTCCTTTCAAAATATAAAATCTATATAAGCATAACAACTTATATAGTTAAATTACTTTTATCATTGACAAATTAAGCTTTCATGTAGGGGTGAGTATTCGGTTTATTCGGTTAAAAACTAAACTGAATAAACCGAATTTTTAAAAACCAAACCAAAACCGAATTATTAAAATACCAAAAAACTGAAACCGAATTTTTCGGTTCGATTTTCAGTTAAAACCGAATTTTATTAATATTATACTAATACATATTATATATTATATATATTAATATATTTATGTATATTATAATATGTGTATATGTTAATGTATTTTATATATTTTAATATTATATATAATATATATTATATTAAGTATATAATAAATTTTGATTAATTCAGTTTTTTCGGTTAACCGAATTTCCAATTCTGAAAACCAAAAAAAAAACGAACCAAACAAATCAAAACCGAAAAATTCAGTTTGATTTTTCGGTTTTAACCAAACAATGCTCATCCCTACTTCTATCTTTTGTCACATGACCATACTACTTGTTTCTCATTGTTTTCCTGATTTCAATTGAAATTAAAAAGATTCAATATACAATGGATCATAAATCCAACATATGTATTTTGAAGTTGAGTCCAACATGTATTTGGAAGAGTTGGACAAGAATTGGCATTAAGTCCCCTACAAAAGATGGGGGCTTCAATGCAACACTGGTAGCAACGCATCAAAAAGATACAATCTTTCTCATATTTTATTTCAACCATAAGCAATCAAAGACTAGTTGCAAATTGGCAGTAAACTTCAGCCTTTGCTCATGGAGTTGTTTTTATTTCTAATGCATTTCCAAATTAGATACAAATTTTGCACCTAGTTTAATTTTCAATCACTTTGTTTGTAACTATGATTTCCACTCCTATTTGATATAAAATTTGTATTTTAATATGCATGTCAGAAATAGGCATACAATCAACACAGAAAAAAAGGCTTTCGAATGTGGCTTTTGGCATTGCATGAGCCATGAGACCTGGAAAGCCATGAAAGCCTGTTTGGTAAAAATCCGGAAAGCCTTAGTGCCCATTTAGGACATTCAAAGAGTGGTTTAATTTCTAGCATTGTATGAGCCATGAGACTCAAAAAGTCATGAAACCTTATTTGGTAAAATGCTGGAAAGCTGAAAATGGACTTAAATGAATCCAAAATAAAAGACTTTTTGATGAAACTATAGTAGATATGAGGCAACAAAACTCAATCATCGCATAAACCCTCCAAATTGGCAAGGTTCCAATTGGTTGATTGGTAGGGTCTCTTGCTGGTTGTATTTGACTTGGGTTAGTGGAGTTTATGGGTTTGGAGATGGGCTACCCCCCTTGTTGTGTAGCCTGGCCCTTAGAGAAAAAACCCTCCAAATGGGCATAAGATGAACATCTACCATTTCAATTTTCAAGACATTTTGTAATCCAACAACAATAAAAATAAGGGTAAAAGACTTAAATATAATATACCTTGAGTTTTCATAAATTGACTTAAGCATACCTTAAGTTTTGAAATTAAACTTTAATATACCTTTCACTGTTATATATATATATATTGATAAATGAGCAAAATTTTATTAAACCAGCAAATAAGAGTTACATGTAACCCATGGAAAGACACAAGATGTGATCTTTCCTTTAAAACTAGTTATAGAATTATAAGTACAAAAGAAATTACACAGAAGCTCAAAATAAAGTATCCCGAAGAACCCCTTGTTTCGCAAGTGAATTAGCCATTGATTTTACTGATCTGCCTATCCACTAAACTTTGATTGTCATATTCCTTGTTAACCATTTAACCTTTTTGAGAAGATCTCTAAAACCCCAAATCACAGTGTCCAGATCCTTCAACTAGCCCACTATCACCTGGGAATCCCCTTCAATAATCAGACTTACTATGCCTAGCTGATTTGCAAGCTGGATTCATTGTACAGTAGCAAGTAATTCGGCCCTTAAAGAGTCTCCCACACCAACAGGACCTGAGTACAAAGATATAATGCTACTATCTTTGTTTCTCATCACTCCTATGCCTGAAGATCTTGGATTTCCTCGCCTACTTCCATCAAAGTTCATCTTGATAAACTCCTCCCCTGGTGGCATCCATTCAACTCCATGTCTGTCCTTCCTGGTAGAAGTATTAGCCACTGCTAACCAACTTCTTCATAAATCATCAAAAGAGTATGCATCAAAGAGCTTTAGAGTTTTCAGCCTTTGAATTGCCCTTGTCAGAATACATTTTTTAACTTCCAAGAAGCTCATTTCTTTTTCACAAAAGATCCCGGTGTTCCTTTCTTCCCAAACTGTCCACAACAAAGCTACTCTTATGCACTTCCACATAATTTCACTGTTATATTAAAGACAGTTTTATCCTTCATTAAGACATGAAAGTTGAAACAATCATCTTCTACCTTGAATTCCAAGCTCTGTAAACAAACCCTATCGCCCCTTCTCCAATCCTGCAATGCTTAGGAAGATGCATCTCAATCAGATATTTAAGATTTCCAACGAAAACAGGGAACCCACTACCCAAGCTTCACCAAATCGATAATTGAAGAAATAAAATAAAAATTGTGCCCAAAAGTCAGACCTATCTAAAGTTCTCTATCATTTCCTTCATGGTTTATCCATTTACTCTCCATGCCTCCCACCCATTTAGGGTTTAGAATTAACTGCATCTGTTGACATACAAAGGGTAATGGAATGAATGGAACGTCCCATACCTCAGACTCTCTTCTCACCAAATAAGGTATAAGGAATGGGATAGGATGTTATTTGAAATTCTCAGTCTCTATTTATTCCTCCTATATTTTCCTTTAATAAAAAAAAAGATTTGTGTAAATTCTATATCTATACTTTTTTCTGACCTACATTGTAAAATTTCAGGTTAATTAAATTTTTTGTGCTCTGAAAATTTGAGGGTGGATATACTACCTATTGAAGAAAATGGGATTTTTACGGGTTTCTGTTTGTCAATTTTGTTTTGTTTCATTTATTTTCATATATAAATGCTCTCCATGGAATTAATGTTGAATATATCTTATCTTCCTAGACCTTTTTTCAACTGTTCTACATCTTTCACCTTTTTCCTAGAAAAATAAACATTTCATCTATTGTTGGAGTAGCACTGCCATGATTTATCTTTTAACCCATATTGCAAGACATAAAAGGTCAAAATAAGATTTTTGAAAGTTTAAATAGATAATGTGATGTTAATAAGATAAATGTTCGGTCAGCCCACAAGGCATATTTATATCTATTAGTAACTATGCATGTTCTTTGCACGTGGTAATTCTATATATGATGTTAATGATAGTAATAATGTATCCAAAATTTTCTATAAACTTTATATATTTTTATTATTTACCGGATGCAGATTGAAAATTCAAATCTAATTACATAAACACCTCATCCAAATATGTGATAATTGAATCGAGTTGTGAAGTTTCAAGTATCACTGATAGGCCTACTTTCTTGGCTAGATTCTTCTTTTTGTAATATTTAATATTTTTTGTGTATCGTTTTTTTTTTTGTTCATTTATCAAAAAAATGTAAGATTTAAATAGAGGGAATTGAATGTGGTGAAAAGTACCAGTTCAATTTACAATTTAAACCCTATAAAATAGAGACTAAATTAAAAAATGAGTATTTTAGTTAAAAGAAAGTTCCATAATCTTATTCATATTTTTAATAGTAGTTAAATATAGAATGATAGATGGCTTCAATTTTTCCTATAACTTTTTTGTATTTTTGTGTGTAAAAATAATTATAATATATCACACCTACTTTTTGTTTAATATAATAAATATATGATATTATACATGTACCTAATTTTTTTTCAAAATTTTTGTATTTTAATATTTTATTAACTTTTATTATTTATTTATGACACTAAAGGTTTAACATGTTTGACCCAATATTTTAACTATTGATCTTTACCAAAAGTAAAACAATTTCATTTTTGATCAATTCTAAATTATGTATTTCATTTTCATTACCAATAAAAATAATTATTGTTTATTACACTTATTTTTTAATTTGATTAATAAAAATATCATAAATGTGTCTAATTTTTTCTACATTTTTTGTAAGTTTCTATATTTATTTCTAGTTTAGAAATTTTATTACCTAACTATGACTTTGTAGGTTGACTAATTTGATTCGGGTGGTTGAATTGCTTAGTCACTACTTGGATAAAAAATGATTTTGTTTTTGAGTCAGTTTTAAAATATATGGGTTTAAATTGTTAAAAATATTGACATAGATTTAATTTAATAAAAGAAAATGAGAGTTAATAATTCAAGTATAAGACTTAATGAAAGGGGATTAAATGAGGTGGGAAGTAATAATTAAAGTTACGTTTTCAACCTTATCATTAGAGATGGACTAAATGCATAATTATAGGCATTTTAGTAGCCATTAAATCTGGCATTAAAGTTGTAATAAAATGAATTTTCTACCCTTTTTCAAACAAAGTTGTAATAAAATTTTTAGTCTAATAAAAATTTCACATTACATTCACACTTTTATATATAGTATAGATTTTAAAAACTGAGGATATATTTAAGTCAAAATTCAGCTATTTTAATTATTTTATCCAAAATAAAATATATTCAACAAAAATGGGGCTCCAAATGATGGCATCCCAAGCTTTGGAAATTTGATGGAACTGATAGCTTTTTAATTAAGGGAAAAGTAATTATCAATCTTTTTCTCCCAGACACTGATAGGTATCATTTGCATGGAATATGAACCGCATAAACAAAATATGAGAGAGAGAGCTTCAGTTTTCACTACTTCATATATAGTTAAGAAGTGAAAGGCTTGGTTGCTAACGTTGTTTCTGTTGTTGTTATAATGCAGTAAAAACAAGATGAAGGAAACTTTCGTGGACTTGGTATTTTCTTGGTCTCTCAAAGATGTACTTAATGGCCAACTGTTCAAAGAAAAGGTACATTACATAGACACACACCGTAACTCATTCATAGAGAGAGAGAGAGAAAGGGAGAGAGTTTTGATTGCTTTTTTTGCTTGCACTTCAGGGCCATTAGCGTTATACACATGATGTGTATGTAGGGATGTCAATCGTATTCGAAAATCCAATTTTGAATTCAATATTCAGCATAATCAAATCAAATTCGGATAATTCGAATATCTAATCAGTCAAATTTGAATATTCTATTCATATCAAATAGTTAACCAGATTCGAATTTGGATATGACCTGATTCAATTCGAAAAATATCCGAATGTGATCAATTATTTAATTTTTATATATAATATATAAAATATTAAAACAATATATAAATTATATAAATAATTTATATATTTATATACTTCATATAAATAAAATATTTATTAATTACTTAAAATAATTAATTGGTCGAATTCGAATTCAAATAAAATATTCAAATATTTAATCGAATTCAAATATTAATTTTCAATATCCGTCGAATATCGAATCGAATTTGGATATCAAAATTTATTAATCGAATTTGAATTTGGATATTGCCTGATTCGATTCAAATTCGGTCCATTTACACCCCTGTATATGCTTATTGATCTAGAGAGGGAGACCCATTTCTTGTATCCTTGGTATTTGATCATGGTGGATCATTGTCTTGCATTCTAGCCTATCAGTTGGAAGTTGATAGTCAGGAATGGGAGTTTGTGCGTTTAGTATGTAGGAACCATTTGTGGTTGGGTTTCTAAGGCCTGTTCGATTCAGGTAATAGAGGTCTAGAATCGGAATTGAAATTGGAATGGACTATTCTGATTCCAATTATTTGTTTGGGCAGAATTGAAATCCTATTCCCATTCTGGTGAAATGGGAATTCTCCCATCTGCTCTAGAAGTATACATCCAAAGTGTTGCTGCAGATTTATTACTGTGGTTTTGTTGCTTTTGTGCTGCTGGTACATGTGAGTTGTACAGGGTATCAACAGTGACCAATATAAATTTATTTATTTTGAAGAAGACAGTGACTAATAAAGATTGAAGGTTGATTATATGGTAGACTTTCAGTTTTTTGCTCTATAAAGGACCCTATTATTTCTTGGTAATGCTATGTTATGTTATTGTCTTGTTGTCTGAAATTTTTTTTTGAAGTCATGTTATTATCTGAAACTCGTTCTCACTTTTAGATTGTCACTGTTGATAATAAGCAGGGGCGGAGCCAAGTATATTGGTGGGAGGTCCTTGACCCCCAAACTTTTTGTTAAAAACCATTATTTATATGGTTCTTTAGTGGTTGTAAAGGATCATTCTTTAAGGCTCCTTGGACTCCCAAAAATTTATAAAAAAAAAAAAGTATTTATTTTTCTTTTAAAAAAACCCACATCTTTTCAGACCATTTTTCCCCAAACACTACTTCTTTTCCTCCCTGTTTCATTTTCTTATCTAACTTACCCCCAAAAGAAAATTTCTGGCTCCGCCACTGATCTGACAGACTTTTTAATTGGTATCTCTGGAGGTGGATGGAAACTCGTATTAGACACTTTTATAATAGCATAATATATTAGTTGGGACCCGTGGGCTTTGTTAAAGTTAGAAGAAGCCTTATAACATTCCTAATTGGGCTGCCGAGCCGAGTCCAATCCAAATATTAGTTTTGGGTTATGTACGTTTAGATAAATTCGCATTAGATTTTCTAATTTTTATTGATTTTTGGTTAATTATTATGGTGATTTTCAATTTTTTTGTTCAATAAATTTGTATTAAATAGAACTTAAATGGGTTTCAATTTTTATTTATAATCTTATTTTCATTAATTATTGTTAGATAAATTTGTTATAATTTTTACTAATTTTATTTGGTTTTATTAATTTTTATTATTTTTAAATGGAAATTAAATAGATTTTAATTTAACAAAAATTATTGTTAATAAATGAAAAAATATTAATTTCTATTAAGTCATTAATATAATTAATTCATTATCTAATTAAGTTTAATCGAGGGCTTAACTTAATTAAATAATTAAGTTATCAATTAAGAAATTATAGGTTAATTTAACTAAGTTGATTAATTAAGACTGTGTTTGGTACCATTGCCACTTCTACTTGCAACGTTTTGTGTTGGCCAATATAGATAGAAAAGTATGGGAGATATCCCCAATGCATATGGGGTGTATGGATTAGATATTGACATTTATGCCATTCTTAAAGAAGCGGCAATGTTATCCAATGTTGTATTGATAACTCAAATAATTTGTGGTAGAAAAAAATGCCTTTTCATAAAATTTGTATTGGCGTTACAAGTAGAAGTTTGCAATGATATCAAACACAACCTAAGTTAGAGTATTATTATTCTTGTGTGCATATTCCTGCTGCCATCCTATGTTCATATCCCTTATCAACCATTTGATTTTCTTAAACATATCTCTATGATACCATATTACATGCCAACCATCACATTATAATCTCCTTCAGTGATTAATCTATCAAAATTCAAGTTTTTTTTTTTTCAGAAATTCCTAACCGAATAAGACCCGTAAACAAATTAAGCTTTATTCCTGAAGACCCCTTCACTCCAGAAAGACTTAGATTACTACCATCAAACTTTAATTTGGTGAAGCCATCCTCAGGTGGTTCCCATTCCTTTTGAATTATCTTCTTTTTGTATGAAGATGCAGAAATTTATAGTAAGTTATTTACAAGAAGATCATGATGAACAAGAGGCACAAATAATTTGATAAATAAAAGTAGAAGTCTCATAAAGAACCATTCAATCCAAAAGCTTAAGCTGTTAAGTGAGGTCCTTGAATAGGTTTTTATTCTTAACATACATGCCCCTTCACACGAAAGCCCATTGGGCTTAAAACGTGGACGGCACAGGCCCACCCATACCTTGTACTGAAACTTAATTAATTATAATGGGGGTGACGAGAATCAAACACTAAACCACTTAGTCAAAGTGACTGATACCATCTCAAAAAACCGTTCAACCTAAAAGTTTAAGTTGTTTAGTAAGTGAGGTCCTTGAATAAGTTTTTATTCTCTAACAAGGTCCAACTTGGAAGGGCTAGGGTTGAGCATTTGCCATCAAAATTTGATGGCAAGGCCCCACCTGCACCTCTAAATAAAATCATTCAAACATTTAGCATTTTTGTTTTATTTCATATCATAGGAGTGCATTATTTTCTGGCCAGAAATCATTGGCTCTCATATTACCAGATGTGCCATTTTAGTCATAAATTCAAATTGACAAGAAATAAGGATTTACAGTATTATTGCTATGTGTGCCTATAGATGCTTGGAGACAGTGGACCAGATCCAATGGCCTGTAATTTTCCATGTGTCACATGTTTAGGATTGGGAAAGATGATAAAGACTGATGAATCAATAAGCACCTTCTTTCCACAAATGATGAAGCAAACTACTGTTCATCACTCGTTGGATTGGACTGTAAACGTCTTTCTAGTTTCAATCAAATTAATGTTTAACAGATAGGAGGTGCTTAGTAAGAGTATGCTCATTAGATCACCACCCGTAGCTACACATGGGGTTGAGGTTGGCTAATATATTGTAGATTACTGCTTAACTGTTGTACTTATAATAGGGGAAAACCCAGAAAAAGACTGGAGTTGAAAGTTGGGCCATTTGGCCATTGCGACAAACATGATATATATAATTAGGGCCTGATATACTTGAAACACAGTTGCAACTCTTTATCTTATTTTAAATACCTGAATATCATAAAAAAAAATGATAATTCAGATAACTAAAACTCCCTGGGTGATGCTGACTTTTGGTGTAGAAAACCCTCTTGAGACATATTCACTGGTAGGCAATGAAGTTGGCAATACCTCATAAAAGCACATTCCAGAAGCTGTATTGATGATACTTTTTGGGTCTCTTTGCTTTGGTGTCCCTGTTCCATGTGTATGGCATGGTCATCCAATTCATTGGTTGTTGTAATCAAGTAATTAAGGGAATTTGGTTTCATTGTCGACCAAGCAAGTTTTCAACATATAATAGATATGTATGTATGTAGTAATTAGTATGATCAGAACCACATGACTTGTTAAATAAGTTTTTGCAAACTTTTTCTCTTTGGAACCAATTCTTCCTTTCTCTTTATTATACAGGTGGAGAAGATCCCCAAGACGTTCTTGTCAATAGAGCATTACTTAAGGTCATATAGGTTCCCTCTTATTGAGGAGACACATGCTGATTTAAATTCAAGCTTTTTGGGTATAGCTCAAGCACCTGTATGTGAAATATTGTATGTTCAGAGAATTACAAAAAACAAGCCACCCAATGATTTGTGTTATAACATTGTACTTAAAAAAAGAAATATGGATGGTAAGCAAGACAAAAGAATGTATGAACCTGGGAATGGAGATCTTATTGTGTTGTCAGATGTAAAACCTCAATCCGCTGCTGATCTTAGTGGAACCCAAAAATCCTATATTCTTGCATTAGTCACAGGTGGGGGAAATGGAGACAATCCTCTTAGAGTCAAAGTCCGAGCATCAAAGGAAATTGTGATTGAGCAAAAAAGGCAGAACAAGAGGCCGACTCTTTTTGCTGTCTATTTGATAAACATGACAACAAATATTCGTATATGGGAAGCATTGAACTCTGACATCCACAAGGGAAACATGAGTATCATCAAGGAAGTGTTGTGCACTGATTCAATTGTAAGCCTTACAAACTTTTTTTTTATTATTTTATGCACTTGTAAAGCTATATATTTTGCAGAACTGCATTCTATCAATTGGTTTCCTCCTTTGTTATGCAATAGTAACATTTTCATTTATGAGCAAGTATAAGCTGTTTCACTGATTCATTGGTTCTTAAATGGTGTCATTAGGATTTCTGTTCTGTTTCTTTTGGTTCTGGAGTAAATCTTACCTACATATTTCTGCCCTCTTATTTCAATTTTATCTGGTTGGTAAATCATTTATGAAACAATCACTAGTTAAGAATCAGCCATTTAGAAATTTTAACAAATAGTGATAAAAGGGTTTTGGTTTCTTTACTTATTTCTAATAGTATTACTTTTGGTGGGTTTTGTTTCCTACTGGGCTAGAAAAAAAACAAGATTCATCTAATGGATCCCAAATAGTTGGAATTAAGACTTTGTTGAGTTCATACTCTTTAGTTACTTGGAAATAAATCCTATTCATAGTTACTATACAAAAATCCCTCCCCACCCCTGCTTTGGCCAAAACCATCAGCTCTGCAATTCAGCTCTCTAGGAATCCATCCAAAATGGTAAGTCATAATAGACTTGGTTTCCAAGATCTCATTAAAAATGTAGTTGAATCTCCAAGGACCCTCCTTAGAGCTTTTCTTGGAGTCACCTTCCACCACCACCTTGCTGAGATTAAGATCCAACACAGATCTCAATCCCACCACCAAGGCATGGATGATTTTTTGCTTCAGTAGGATCTTCAACACCAATTGGCGCATTAAATGCCAGATAAGATGCCAATTAGATTTAGGTGTTGTTTGGCACCATTGCCATATCTAGATGTAATATGATAGCAGGTAGAAATGGCAATGATACCAAACAACACCTTGATAATTTGATCCCCAATACTAGTTAATCTTTTATCGTTCACAAGTATAAATCAGAAAACATTAGGTTCTACCTCTTTCACAAATACATGATGATCTGTCCCATAGCCCTTAGTCCCTTTATGTGGAATTATACCATATGACATATTGTGGGCCCAAAATTAAGGAATAGATAGAAGATTACAAAAGAAAGGAAAGATTGAATATTCATCATGGAAATTCGAAACATAAATTTTCTTTAAATGATTAGCTAGAAAAATGATGCTTAATAAAAGGGTACTTTCAATTAAAAATTAATAATGTGCCAAAACATGTTGAGCTTTATAAAGGCAAGCATTTCAGTGATCACATAGTGGGGGAAACAACCAACTGTTTATGGTAAAGAAATGAAGGTATAACAAGAAAAACTTTAGCAAGACTTCAGCTCATTATCAAGTTCTACAAGTTCAAATTGAGAAGAGAAAAAGTTTCTTTACATAATCTAATTTTCATCAGGATTATTCTTGTAATAGAGTTTTTTTTTTTCCTGGGGAATGGGAAGATGATGGGTTAAGGATTATTTTAATGGTGGTGGGCATCTGTCTGGTTTGTGCTTAAGGATTTTTTTTTTTTTTTTTGAAGTAATAAGTTGTCCTATTTTGAGGCAATAATTGATTTATAGAGAGATGTAGTGTATCAACCTATTCTTTTTCCTGTGAGTTCTACAACAATTTTATTATTATGAGGCAAATGAAGACATCCTGAGTTTGAGGTATTTGGGCGAAATCAATCCCTTGAAGAGGGTGTTTTGGTTGTGTAACCATACATCATTAACTATTGACCATCTCAAGCTAATAGGGGGGAATTGGTCCCTCTAATGATTTTCTGAATGCCATTTTTCCATCCTGTGCAAGGTTTCTTGTGGTATCTAGAAGGAAAATAAGTAAAGGTATTGTTTTCATGGCAAGGAGACATTTCAGATTGTTACATGCAAACTTGGTATATTCCATACCGTTGATTTTATTTGATTCTTCCCCAGTTTCAAGTGATGGATATGACTCCATATGAGAGAATCTTTTGCTATGTGTTGTATGTATGCATGCAGTCATATATAATATATACACACCGATACGCTTGGCTCTTCAGTGAGGAGATATATTTTTGTACATAGGATATTACAGTAGCAAGATATCAAAAGCATTTTCTGTCTGTCAAATTATCAGTCCTTTTGACTTAGGAATTTCGGCTGTATAACTGATGACAGATACACATGTTAGGATGATTCCTGGCCCTTATTCATCTCTTGAAAATCTTCTCAAGCCCTGGTTATTTACCAAGTTGTGAGGCTTGTAAGAGTTACATTGGTATGTTAAAATAAAAGAAAAATATTTGAATGTGGAAAGAAATAAGAAGTTAAATTTGTAGAAGAATGAGATAGATGGAATTAATAAAGAATTTGTTTTACTAACAAGGTCGAAACAATTAAAAGAGATGTGAAATTTGAATATGTAAATATATTTGTTTGTAAGGATCTTTGCTTGCAAGTTTCCTGCATTATCCACTTCTATTTATATTCAGTATAATTTTTTATCCAAATCAGAAAGATAGCATGCCAAAATGTGGAAAAATAGAAAGAAAATCAGATACCCTAATAGGAACTAAGTAGAAAATAGAAAGAAAATCACATATGTGTAGCCTTGTGCTAGTATGTGACTTATCTTACACTAAGATGGTACAACATACCAACCTTAAGCTGTGTTTTCTTCACATCCATCAAACTGGTTTTGTCACCACATAAGATTGTCAATGAGAAAATCATGATGAGAGTGAACCATTGTCTTATTAAAAGTATTTGCTATTTGGAAATCTGATTCTATATGGAGAAAATAATCCTGGCAAAGTATCATTCACACACAAAGTCATAATCCAATTCAATGTATTTGGTGTGCTGATGAAAAAATAGGTTGAAAGCATTCTTGATATAATTCATGTTGTTATCATATAAGAGAGTTGGGGGAACAAATGTGATATCTAATTTGGCAAACAATCCCCTAAGCCAAGTTTCACTACAGGTCAAAAACATAGCTCTGTACTGAGATTTTGAGGAAGATTAGGAAATTGTAGGTTTCTTCTTACACATCCAAGAAATAAGCAAGTAACCAAGAAATACAAATCAGCTTGTAATAGGACACTATGCCCAATTTGTGTTGGCATTGGCTCAAAACTACTTAAACATAATAGATGCCTAGACGAGTCATGGTAAGATTGATGAAACTCCCAACAATCTGAAAATAGAGTTTATGATCTGCTAGCGGCTCACCAACAATGTATTAAGATGTTTCTCATCAATCAGATTAGACAATTTAGTCAATCCATTGCATATTTTCTTTTAGTTTATCAAATATACACGAGTAGTGTGTCTCCAACCCAAAAACAAGTCAATGGTCACAAATTCTTCATTTTGAGAGAGTGGGATAGTAATGACTACAAGGATTGAGTTCCCTTTGCATCATCTCCTATAACTGAGATATCATAACTCAAACTTATAGGAAAAGTTCACCCCTCCGAAGATAGCAGATGATTGGAACCTCGATTGCATAATGGCCCTTAGAAGAGCATTTCTGTGGTAAAATATTTAAGATGAAGCAATAAAAAATTAGTACAAGTTGTTCTGGAGCTAATGAGAACATCCTTTTCTATAACCAATCATCTTAACCTTGTTTTTGGATAGGCAGCTTGTTTCCTTTTTCTGCTTTTCAGTGTTCTTTTTCTACCTAAAATTTTTTAGGATCTTGATAAAGCGGAAACCAAAATTTGAAAAAGGAAAAAAAAAAAAAAAAACTGCTTTGGACGGTTTATTAATTCTGGCTATGCTTGCTTACTTTATTTGCAGGTTGGAGTGAATTGTGATCACTGCTTTGCTCAAGATGAAAACTTGCATGAGAAAAAGTTGCTTGCAGATTTACACTCAATCAGTCTCAATGGATCTCAAAGTAAGGCTGTGGCAAGATCTATTATGACAAGGAATTGCAAACATAAGAGCTCAGTTAAACTTATCTGGGGTCCCCCTGGTACTGGGAAAACAAAGACAGTTAGTGTATTGCTTTTGGAATTCCTAAGGTTGAAATGCAGAACGCTTACATGTGCCCCTACTAATATTGCAGTAATGGAAGTCATTTCACGTCTCTTGAGATTGGTTAGGCAGCATTTTAGACATCACAATTTTGGCTTGGGAGATATAGTATTATTTGGAAATGGGGAAAGGATGAAGATTGATGACCATGATGACCTTCTTGATGTATTTCTTGATTATCGCTTAGATCGTCTTAAAGAGTGTTTTTCCCCTCATAATGGATGGAAGCATTGGCTAAATTCCATGATATTGTTGCTTGAAGACCCTGCTCAGCAGTATCTTTTGTACTTGAAAAGCATAAAGAAGAAAGAAGAGAAGCAGGATTCTGCTCAAATAGAGAAACAAGATATCAAAAAATGGAAGGGCAAGGAGGAGAGTGTTTGTGTGGAAGAAAGGAAAGGTGAGGACAAACCTGCACAAAACCTAAAGGAAGGGAAAATGGAGAAAGATATTGTGCAAACTAGGATAAATAAAGTAGAGGAAGATGGGAAAGTTAATGAGTTTCAGACACTTGGACAGTTTATAAGAGCAAGGTTTGGTTCCATTGAGAAATGCCTAGAGCTTTTTATTAAAATTTTTTGTACCCACCTTCCTACATCTTTTATTTCAGAAGGAGTTGTACAGAAAATGGTAAGAGCTCTTGATCTGCTTCAATCTCTAGGGACACTCTTACAAAATGTTTCTCTTACAAATGAAGAGTTGGAGGAAATCTTTCCTCATTCTAAAAATGTAAATAACAATGATAGTGGATCTGCAGCATATTTGGTTTATAAGACTAAAAAAATGTGCCTTGAGAATCTCAGATCCCTTTGTGAAACATTCTCTGTTCCTGAATTTTCTGATGAAGATTCAATTAGAAAGTTCTGTTTTAGGAGTGCTCATTTGATTTTCTGCACTGCTTCAAGCTCATCTAAGCTGCAGGAAGAATGGATGACACCAATGGAAATTGTAGTTATTGATGAAGCTGCCCAACTTAAAGAATGTGAATCAACCATTCCCCTACAACTTCCTGGTGTTCAACATGCTATTCTTATAGGTGATCAACATCAATTGCCTGCAATGGTAAAAAGCAAGGTTGGATACTTTTTTCAAATTTGTATCCTTTCTGCTTATGTAAAGTTATTTCATTATTTTTTAAAACTTTCTATGTTTATCAGATCTCTGAGAAGGCTGAATTTGGAAGGAGTTTGTTTGAGAGGTTGGTGGCTTTGGGGCATGATACGCACCTTTTAAATGTCCAGTACAGAATGCATCCATCCATAAGCTTATTCCCAAATTTGGAATTCTACAAAAAACAGATCTCAGATGCTCCGAATGTAAAAGAAAGATGCTATGAAAGGCAATTTCTTAATGATAAAATGTATGGCCCTTATTCATTTATAAATATTTCTAATGGTAAGGAAGAATTTCATGGGTGCAGCCAAAAAAATATGGTAGAGGTAGCTGTGGCGTCAGAGATAGTGAAACATCTCTATAAAGGTATGGTTTGGTGTTTCTTTCAGGATTTTAGAAGAGTACTGGCGTTTGAACTGAAAATTGTTTTCTGACATCAAAGTGGAATTGGACTTTGAATCTTGAGCCCCAAGACTAACAGCAAAGTTTTGACTCATTACTCAAAACTTTCTAATGTAGCCACTATAATTATCATCCATAAGAGTATATTAGTAGATCCACATGAAGGAACATGCACATAAATGCTTACTTTTACTTTTTGAATACTTGTAGCTTCAGTTGCCACAAGACAGAGGATTAGTGTTGGTGTTATATCCCCATACAAGGCTCAAGTTTTTGCAATCCAAGAGAAACTTGGAAGTACATATGAGACACAAAGTGACTTTTCTGTGAGTGTTCGGTCTGTTGATGGGTTTCAAGGTGGTGAAGAGGATGTGATAATAATATCTACAGTCAGGTCTAATGGGAATGGATCAGTAGGTTTCCTTGCAAATCTTCAACGAACCAATGTGGCTTTGACAAGGGCAAGGTATAATGATATAAGGATGTACCTGATTACAATCATGCTCAAGTGTCTTGGAATTATTGGTTGTCATTTCCATTGCAGGTACTGTCTTTGGATTTTAGGGAATGGAGAAACATTAATCAAAAGCAGAACCATTTGGAAAAAAGTAGTACTTGATGCAAAGAATCGTGGGTGTTTCTTTAATGCTGACAAGGATAAGATCCTGTCTGAAGCAATAATATCTGTTCTGATTGAGAGTGGCCAGCTTGAAAGTTTATTCAATATGGATTCTCTACTTTTCAGGAAAGCAAGGTGGAAGGTATGTTTTTTATGCCTGTTAGCTTCCCATAATTATTTTTAATTATATAGGATGAAACTTGTTGATTTAGAACAAGACGGGTTCCTACAAATTTCAGATCTAGTAGTGGGATTTGTGGGCTTTGGTTGATTAAGGAATAAGGATAAATAATAGGGATGGAGAAGCAAGTAGTTCACCAAAGAAAAAGCAAGAGAAGAAATCTTGTTGCTAGGTTACAAGAAGAAACAGATGATAGAGAGAGAGAGAGAGAGAGAGGAAAAAGAGAAAAGAAAAATTCTTGGCAGCATCCAAAATTCACTAAACCATACTTGACTTATCTTCAAATCAATTATTTAAACTATAACTATAGTAACCCTAAACCATGGTTCATAATATCGATGTCCATGAACAATTCACCATCATGTAGATTTGGAGAAATTTTAGAGATATTTCACTAATTTTGCTAAGATATTTGGAAAATCTAAAAGATTAGGAAAGTTGTCTACAAACATTAAATTAATGCATAAACCTTCAAGAGATAATTAGAATAAATATAATTGCACAGTTAAGGCTAAAAAAACCATAACAAAGAACTATATAAATCAAATAGGAAAATAAATGAAGCGATTGTAATAGGTATCTTTCTCTGTCTCCATTCTGGTCTTTAGCCATCTTCTCTTCTTTATGTATGTCAATTGCTATGCATTTTAACTTTTGTCTTTATTGTTATAATATGTTTTTAATTAGATTGAGAATACTCTTCTTTAGTTATATGCATTTTTTTCTTTTTTGTTTGAATTATAGTGACTTAAGTAAGTGAATCATATCAAAGTACTAAGCCAATTGTCCAGTCAAAAATTCCTTGATGGTTCTTTTAGGAAAATATTTAAAAAATAAAAAACTATTATGATTTTAATGAAACATTGGAAAGTTTTAAATAATATTATAAAATTTTAAACTTTAAATATATATTCTATCTATGAAATATGAAATATTGCCGACATATTGGCAAAATATCAAGGATATTTGAAAAAAAAATATCCCCGGAAGATTTTTCATCACCACCTAGATATTGGGGATATTTCACTAAATATTGTCAACATTGCGAACCATGCCCTAAACAACATCTAAGCAGTGTTTTAAAACTCTGTCTGGAGGTTGAACCACTATCTTCTCCAGATCAATGGTCAGTGGTTTAACCACTCAGGTCAAAGAGTCACCGTTGTGATGATATTACAAAATTTTCAAAAAAAAAGAAAAATACAAAAAACCATGAAGTCAGAAACCCAATGAAGAGGCCAAACAAATCAAAGGTTCAACTGTTTGGACTGACAGGACTTCAATTGAATCAATGTTCTTTTTTTCTTTTGTAAAGAGCGGGATAGAGGTTGATCCAACCAAGATTGTGGTTGGGTCACCAAATTATTGATTTGAGCAACTAGGTCAATGATGGATTGAAAGTAGTTCTTCTAAACAGTTTTAAAACTAAGACAAACCCATAGGTAAACCATAGGATGCTCAAATAAGAACTCCAACTCTTAAGATAACTATGATAACAATTTTCTAATCCTATAAAGATGACTTAAAGTAAAATACACTGGAAATTACTAAAAACAGTAATCCATGATTGTGATATAAATCTTAATTACAGGAAATTCTAAAAATAGTACGTCTAAAATTACCATATATGGTAATTTTGAATTTCTAATAACAGTAAATTTATAAAAGACTTAAAACTCTATTTTTAAGACATAAAACAAATTTAAACAAATAAAAAAACCAATACTCTTATCAACCAAAAATTCTGAAATTCATTTAAAAATCGAAAAAACTATTTGTTTCTCCATGGATTCTTTCTTTGCTTCCATATCTGTTTGACTTGTGCTTTGAGTAAAGCATATCTAAATTTTATGGTCGCAACAAACAAAATTCTGTATTATCAATTATAATTGTAAGCCATATTTTCCTAGAGGTTATCTAAATTCCATGGTGTCAAGCAGGCTTCCATTATATTGGAAGTGAAGCCATATTTGCTAAACAGGGTTCAATTTAATAAGATGTAGTTTATATTATTGTGTTCCTAGCTTATTAACCAAAGGTACAAAGAAAAGAATAATGGGAGGCTTTTCTGATCTCCTTCCCTAGAAATTGTGGAAAACCTGTTTGTATGTTTATCTCATTGCAAGATGAAAACTCATAATAGGACCAGATTTAGAAGTTTCAAAATATTAGGCTCTTGTTTTTCTGTTTTTTTTTTATGGACCAGCTGAAACTAAGTCAATTATCAAGTTTGCATCTTGTTTTGTACTTCACAAGTATCATTCGCCTGTACACACATTGATCTTGTCTAATTGATTTTATTTAACTGTTGGTTAAGACAATCAATGGAACATTGTATCTCTTTTAGACTTGTGTTCTTACAACTTCTCTTCCACTGTAATGCATCTAAATAAAAAGTCCATTATTCCAAGGCCTAATGAGGATTTCATTACTAAGAAATATACAGTCTCTGGCCCGAGTTTAATGGGATATAGAATTTTCTATTTTCGTAAATTGGGGTCTTGACCAATGTTTCTTTGGTTACTAAACAAGGATTTTTAGTGCTTTCCATTCCCCCATTAATCTTTAGTAGGAAAATTGCTGTTCTGTGTTTTTATCACAGCTAATAAGTTACATTTATTTAATTCATAATAGGTTCTCTTCAATGATGATTTTTTGAAATCCATGAGAAGAATAAAGAAAGTTGAGACTCAAAAGGAAGTTATTTCTATTTTGATGAAGCTGTCCGGTGGTTTGCATCATTGTCAAAAGCCAAAAGACCTCCATTTCATTGATAGCACTTCTAGTCAGCTGTTGCAACTATGCAAAGTTGATGCATTGCTCAACCTTGTCTGGACTGTAGATCTTCTCAAGCAAAATGCAATGTACATTCAAGTTTTAAAGATTTGGGATGTTATACCGTTGACAGAGATTCCTAATCTAGTAGAGAATCTTGACAAAATCTTCAGCAATTATACACTAGACATTATGGATCGTTGCAAATTAAAATGTGTTAAAAGGTATGCAAATGATCTATTTCCTTTCAGTAGCATATCCTCTTCAAACAGATTAAATTAAAAGAAAATATATCCTAGTAGCTTAAGCTTATTTCACTCTCAGACCTTACTTCCATACTTGTAGACTTGCAGAGCTGATATGTCGATTTACTTATAGTAAGTGGAGTTAAACTTTCAGTATTTTTATTAAATGAGTGTTCCTAATATCATAATATTATACCTCTGGTTGAGTATATCTGAACAGGTTGATTTTTGTCCAAGGATCAAGGATATTTTGTGAATCTGAAATCGTCTGACATCTCTTCTATCTAGTGGAATATATTGGATTGTTTTGATTGCTAACCATTGAGGTCTATGTAGTCTAGTGGTAGATTGTACTGCTAACTTTCTCTGAAAGAAATAATAGAATAGAAACAATGAAATTATGACAAATGAACTGAAAGGGAATGAAAGAAAAAAGAATGTTGGTTAATCTGTTAGTCTGCATTTACATCGTGTTTTTCTTTTTTTTTTTTTTTTTTGCAATGAAACATGTTGGAGAAAACAATGACTTATTTGATATACATTATAGCAGTTAAAAAATCTGAAAGTCCATCTATACAATATACATTCAAAAAATGAAGAAAAAGATTATTTATTACTTTTCTGATTGCTACAGAAATTTGGTAGTACCACTGAGTTGGAAAATCCATCCAAATACTACTAGGCTCATGGATGCCCAAAAGGTTGAACCTGTTCAGAATGTATCGAATACTTTAGCTTCACTTAGACTTGAGGAGCAACCAAATATTCCACCTTCATCTAGGTAAGTTATTTCTGGATTTTGAGGTATGATTTCTTGTTGTAGAATTTTGGAAAACGAATTCATGAAAGTAAATCTTTTACCCTTGCTGAATTTAAAATTCCCGGAAATATTGATTATGTTGTACATTGATGCCAAGGTTGAGGAGCAGTAACCGAAAACACTCCAACCTTTCTAATACAGTGATTCTTTTGGAAATTTGCAAATCTTAAGTATTGTTCTATGTTGATATTATTGATTACTTTTCTGGTATCTACAGAAACCCGAAAGTACCAGTTCAGAATTTGTCAAGTCATATAACTTCACTCACTCATTTGGAGAAGTTGAATGTGGTGCCATCAGTGTCCAAGTAAGTTCTCTCTGAAAAAATACTTGGAGGTGTCATGTCTCATTTGCACAATTTTGGAAAACAAATGATTGAAAAAATAGGAACTTTACCCTATTCTTGAATTTGAAATATGAATGCCTTGAAATGCTGGTTATATGAAAATCAAACCAACAGTTAAAATCAGTAATAGCAACAATCCAGTTTTTTTAATATCATAATAGTTTTGGAAATGTTCAAATCTTATCTGATTGTCTGTATTCAGATAATAGTGTTTTATTTAGTAATCAAAACATAAATTTCTTATTGTTCTAAACTAATAATTATATGAAACATAAATTGTTAAAATGCAGCGAGGAAAAAGAGAAAAAAGACAATTGATTACTTTCTTTTCTATAGAAATTTGGCAGTTCCCATGGATGGAGAAATTCATTCAAATTCTACTAGGCCCGTGGATGTAAAGAAGACTGTACCTGTCCAGAGTCTGTCAAGTCATTTAGCTGCATCGTCTCTTGGGGATAAACTGAATTCATCACGACTAGAATCTGAGTAAGTTCTCTTTGAAGCCCTTAAATTTGAAGGTATTATTTTTTATTTTGAAAATTTTGGAAAATGCACACATAAACAACTTTTAATCATATTGCATCAAATATTTATGCATTTCAACTGTTGACTCTTTATGAGAGGTGATCTAATTTGGAAACTAAAAGAACACACACTTGATATAGGATTGACCACTATGATACAAATCGGTGATGTATGATTGATAGTTCCAATACCAATTAAGGATTGCCTACTCTGCTACAAATTTATGTAGTATAACTTCCTCTTATATATAGGACTTGAACAACCAAGGGATGAGTTTAGGAGGGTTAGAGGTGGTTTTATGACTAAAAATAGAGATTGGTTATGTTGGGAAAAGGTTTCAAGGTTTTAATCACAAGAATTGTAGATTTGTCCCAACATTGTGAAAAGTTTCAAATTGGAAAAAGTAGGTCTACTGTTGGAACTTTTTAATGGAATTTCATAGGTAGTATTAAAATGGAGCCACTGTAATTTTGAAAATGAACATTTAAAKGCCCTTCAAAGGTAAGTAAATATATCCGAAACATATAAAATGTAGTTAATCCTGCTGTGGAACAAGCTATTATCGCGAAAATCKGTGAATACAACCAACTATCATTAAGAATTTCATCTTTTGACCAAAAACAAGCAAGAGGTGGAATACCACAAAGAGAAAGTGTACCTAATAAAAAAGCAGATTTTGTAATTGGCATATATTTTGTTAAACCACCCATAAAAACCATGTTGAGGGAAACCTAATTTATTTGGGGTTGGAGTATGTGTGGAATAAAAGGACAAAAATTTTAGAACAAGGAGAAGACTTGGAAAGTAAGGAATATAATGCGTAGACTTTTGGGATGAAATTAAATATGGGGAAATATGAGAGGACAAGAGATGGTTTTTCACAAAAAGACAAAAATGGCTAAAATGCAAAAATTCTGTGTTCTAATGAAAATTAAAGGAAAAATCACCTAGATCTGTCCTTATAGAGATTGTTTAAGGTACATTTTTTGATAAGAACTTAGGACTTTCACAAAAAGACAAAAATGGCTAAAATGCAAAAAATCTGTGTTCTAATGAAAATTAAAAGAAAAATCACCTAGATCTGTCCTTATAGAGATTGTTTAAGGTACATTTTTTGATAACAACTTAGGACTGTTGATGTCTGTACTAACCTTCTTGAAAGACTTAGAAAGAAATTTGAGGGAGAAAGAAGAGAAAAAAAAAAAAACATGGAATCACCCAATGAAGTACCTAGAATCACTCTGGGGCATGGAATCACACTCACTATAAATTATTTAATCTGTAAGATATCAAATAAACTTTATCCATTCATCATATCAAGTTAATTACTCCTCATACTTTTTTGAAATTCATACCAAGTTGATTGCTCATACTTTTTTTGCTTCTCATATTCTTCTGCTTTTTCTTCTTTTTCCACTTTTGCTTCTTCTCTTCTCTATTTTATACTACTATAATTTTAAACTAAAAATATTACAAAATCAATCTATTTGGTATTAAAGCTACAACATCTGTGTATGAAAAAATAAATAAATAAAAAAAGCTACAAGATCTAGGTGTACTCAACATCTTAGGTGAAAAATCCATGTAGTCTTAGGATGATAATGGTTCATGGAATATGATGAAACAACTGATCATTGGGCTGTCAATTGACTGGTTAGGAGACTTTTGGAGGTCTAATTGATGATCAAGAAGCTTAGATGATAATCAAGTACGATGCTGAAATTTTGCCAAAAGCCTTTAAAAAAAGTAGAAAAATTGTTTGTGGCAATCTGGAGGAGTAGCATCACAAGATGATCAAGAAGGTTAGCTGATAATCAAGTAGGATCCTTGAAATTTTCCCAAAAAACATAAAGAAAACTAGGACAAATTTTTGCGGCAATCTAGAGGAGGATTAGCTTTGGCTCGCAAGGTTTCTGGATTGATATTCATGTTCCAGAATGGATGGCAACCTTTGGAAGAAGAAGATCTAGGGCCTCTGGAGTGAGAACCCACTTGTTCTCCAATTTTACTGGTCCTAAGGAGGATCATCTCTTACATCTGTTGGAGTTACTTTGTGAAAAATTCTCTCAGGATTGCCTTATCTAATTTTATACCTTTAATCCTAAAAAAAGGATTGTGCATTCATTTTGGAGCTGATCCCAAGCAGGGTGTAGATCCCTGGGTAGTTCTGGAGGTCTTGGCAATACCTTTAGTAATCAGGTGACCACTGTAAAGTTGGAATGCTTTTCCATCGGTCCAAATGTGTACTGGAGGGCATGAAGGATGGGTACCTTACAGGTTTTGAGGTAGAGAAAAATTCTGAAGATCCCAAATATGGTAGATGGATGCAGGAAAACCTAACAGTGATGTCCTGGTTGGTTAATTCCAAGGAACCTCATCTTATTCAAAATTTCTTATCAATGAGAACTACAAAGGAGATTTGGGACAATTTAGCAAAGACATAATCTAAGACACTAAGTGTTATTTGTGCCTATCAGTTGAAGTCAGAGATTAGCAGTTCAAAACAGGGGAGAGTTCTATGCTTATGTGCTCTTCTAACCTAAAGTCTTTATTGAAACTGTTCGATCTTTTGGAGACTATAGTTTGGGAGAGTCTCATGGGTGCAACTAGGGCTGCAAGTTGGGCCGGATTAGGTCGGGTTGAGGCCAACCCTAGCCCAACCCTAAGTTCCAAACCCCAACCCGACCTACCCAACCCTAACCCTAACCCTAACTAAATTCCTTCAACCCTAAGCCAACCGAACCTAACCTGAAGTCAACTTCGGGTTGGGCCCAACCCAACCTTCTTCCCATCTCTTAAAATCTCGTAGAACTTCTTAATCTTAGATCTTAACTCAACTTTCACTAAATATATTAATCCTATGTTTTATTAGTATTTATTTGTTGATGTTTTTATTGGTTCTTTAAGTACAAAATTCAAAAAATAGTGTTTGAAATGATTATAGTTTATTATGAGTTATAGCTTATAAAAGATCTTTTATGGGCAATAAGCTATGGGTGGCAAACAACAAAGAGGAGATAAAGAATAAAATATTCAAAAAACATAAAAAATTTTATTGAGGTTTTGGTATTTCTAATTAGGATTAAGTGAATTGATTATCTTAAAAGAAATAAATAACAGTATGTAGTAGGGACTATATAACTATCATGCATATAAACAAATCAATGTATGATATGATATATATAACATATATTATTTATATACAATATGTACTATAGAGTCGGATTCGGGTTGGGTCGGGTTGTCTGAGGGGTCAACTCTAACCCAACCCTAAAGTCGGGTTCATAAATTTCAACCCTAACCCTAATCCGAGCATCAACCCGACCCAACCCAAGTTGCAGCCTTAGGTGCAACTTGTTACGGGAAACTTGTATCAATTGTTTGAATTCCAAGAAATGATTAATTGAAAGCATCACACTAGGTGCCAACATATTTTGATTAGAGATGATATAACTTTCTCAAACCTACGGCTCTTTTACTCATAGTAAAGGGAGTAGGAGACAACTAAAGTAAAAGTAGAATCCGTGATTGGAAAGAAGAACTAAAACATGAAGAATAAATAAAGAAAAAACAACAAACAGAAAACAAAGACATAACAGACACCAATCGACAAGTTGGTCCTCCAACACAAACACAATGTAGTGAGTATCAACATCACCAACTTTTAACCTAGTAAGTACATAAGGATAGGACAAGTCATGCCTTACCAGGAATATTCTTTTAACTGTTGTATTGTTTGAACAAACCACCTGTGCAGGTCTGTAGACCAATCAACCTCCACCCAGTTCAATGAAACAAGTTCATCAGGAGTGCACGATGGTAGCAATGAAAGTTCCTCTTTTCTTCGCTGTTGTATTATGTGAGAGATCGAGAGAAGGGGGTACCAGAAGTTGTGTCGTCAAAACTCAAAACCACCATCAGACATTTGTGTGCAGAATTTTGCAGCAGTAGCATTGTGGTTCGGCATCACTCTGGAATGGTGGCGTATGGGGGAACATAGCAGGAGTTCAAATCTGCGCCCCACAGTGTCCCACAGCACATTTCACATGCACCCCATGTCCAGTGGAGTTAGTGGAACCAGCCTATTTTGGGCCTTTATTGTACAACCAGGGGTATTTTGGTCATTTTAGTTTCTTTTACAGATTCATATATAAGTTAAAGAAACTAGATGAATCAACTAATTTAACTTGAAAATTTGGCAATTGTATAGCACCTAAACATTATGGTTTCTTGAGCCCATGTACTGGTCCACATGCTGCTAATTGTGTAAGACGAAATTGAGTTATAGAGATCGTTACAGAGGTTTTTAAAATCGAACCGGACAACGAACAGTTCAGGGTCCGGTTATCATTCAATCAAATAGATGGTTCATTCTGACAAAAAAATAAAAAAATAAAAAAAAGAAATAGTTAAAATTTGCTAAACAGTTCAAACGGTTCAATCACTTGAATTAGCGGTTTGTTGACCAAATCAATGGTTTTTGGCCAAAAGACGATTATAGAATAAAACGAAACCAGTCAAGCATATTGAATCTCCAAAGATTTCAAGTTTCCAACATTATAGATCAATCACTCTTAAATTTCAGGGAAGGGACAGAGATGGGACTAAAGAGCCAAAATCGTTACAATGCATCAATGGACAAAGAGCATTAAACCTTTGTATTTTCTTTAGACGTAATGGTAAAAGCCATGCATTTTCTTATCCATCTAGGCTCTCAAGTGGGTACTAAGGCCAAGATTTGGAGTGCTTATTTAGACCGGGACCACATCATTAAGCATTTATTGGTGTTTGGGAAATAAGCTCGAAATAAGTGCTTATTTTAAAAATAAGAGCTTATTTTTTAAGCCCAAATTTCCAGTTTTCTAAGTATAGCACTTATTCAGTTTTTTTTCCAAAGTTATCCCTAGTTGAATTTTAAAATACCACTTATAAAATTATCCCTAGTTGAATTTTATAAAAGTACTTTCGTAAAAGTATTTTTATACTTCCATAAAAGTGCTTTCATAAAAGTATTTCCAAAAAGTTTTTTCATAAAAGTACTTTCATAAAAGTGCTTTCGTAAAAGTACTTTTATAAAAGTGCTTCCCTAAAAGTACATTTATTAAAGTGCTTTTATAAAAATACTTCGATAAAAGTGCTTTTATTAAAATGCTTTCACAAAAGTGCTTTCATAAAATTTGAAAAAAAAATGATGGAATGCTTATTTAAGTGCTTATTGAAAAAAAAAAACTACTAAACGCTCAATATGAAATAAGTACTTATTTTTTAGGATAAATTACAAAGACCCCCCCGTAATATGGGGTTTGTGACAAAGACCCCCCTGTACTATGACCATGAGACAAAAACCCCCTTGACCGTTAAGTCGATGATGGAATGCGTTAAATTACCAAAATACCTCACTAAACTTTTTCTATTTTCTTTTTTTGCCCTTTTTCTCTTAAAATCTATTTAACCTATTGTTTTCTCTTTCTTCTCCTTCTTTTCCCCTCCCTCAATGTTCTCTCTCATTCTTTCTCTCTCCGAAATGAAAGGATAGAGGAAATCCATTTCTCATATTCCCTTTCTTCTCTTCTCTTCTCCGTCTTCTTTGTCTTCCATCTTTTCCTCATAATCATCATCGACTTCTTCTACTTCCATAGCAACCAGCAGAGAGAGAAAAAAAGGACGGAAGGACTTGTAGTTAACAGAGCTGGAGACTCTCCTCCTGCAGCACTTGCGGACCTAGAGTCACAGCCGCCTCCCCTGCAACACTTGCGGAGTCGGAGCCGGAATCACGTCCCTACCTGAAGACCTCGTCGCCGCTGCTAATCCTTCCTTTGCCATCCACGAGTCCTACAACAATAGTAGCCACCAACATTCTAGTTGGAAATCTAGAATTTCTAGGCATCTAGCCAACTACCAGTTAGGTTTCTAGTTGGAAATCTAGGTGGAATGACCATCCGAAGTTCCGAAGAGCTACAACTCAATAACTCAACACATTGTTTTGGGTTAGATGGAAAAACAAATTCCTCAAACAATTTACAAGGCTTAATGATGCGAAAACTCAAACAATGAACAATACTACCAATTGTGAGATGTAGAGGAGAAGTAGGATGAAAAATTCAAGTGGTTAATTAAACTAACCTCGAATCGGAACTGCTACAATGTGTCTTGGATCAACTGTCGCTTGTGACAGGCCATTAATGGCCACCAACTCTACTACAGTCGTACCATACATCGCTCTGATCCTGCTTAAGCTCTCCCCTGCGTGCACTAAACACGACAAGTAAACTGCATAATGCCATTACTAGTGTTATTGAAGCATGTGCACGACAATGGAATTACAAGGCTCTGACCACTCCAGTCGTCCCTGGCCATCAACCCCATTAATGCTCCTGATCTGCTCTGCACTGGCCAGCCCACCATAACCAATCGATATAGACTCGATTGTGTCTGCAGCTCGAACCGTATAAGATGTCAATACGAAATGACGGATGCCATCCACACAGGAGCACGAAATGGGTATTCTGATGAGAGAGTTTTTGGAGAGGATTCGATTCTCAAGGAATGACATTGCTGGGTCAAGCGAGTTTGAGCCTAAGATGTCGAGTACATTTACTTGGAACCTAGATGTAATCTCTGAGAGCTTGAAGTCCCAAGGGAGGAGATAGGAGAGTAGAGAGGTACAGGAGTCAGAGGACTTACATGGTTCAATCACAAATTTTGCACAAGTTTTGGGAGGGAAGACAAGGAAGAGGGAGATGAGTAGAATAGCAAGTGGTTGCACTAGAATTCCCATCATATGATCTCGTATCAGTGAGTGTCTCTCCTCTCTATAACTGTAATTCTGTAAATGGTTTCACAGAAAAGAAGCAATGAAGAGATGTATTGTGTTCATTGGTTTCCAGAGGCTCCACAAGGCATCGAAACGTTGTCCTCAGCTCAACCCAATCTGGCTTAATCTCAAAGTCATCGGGCAGTTCATACATCTTTAGCATCTCAATAATGTCATCCCACATCCCTGCTAACTTGAGCCTGGTCACATTGGCCAAGAAATCTTTCTCGCCTTCTTGGCGTTTGAAGGAATCGTAGTAGGCTACCTTATCTACCTAACAATTGAAACGATAATTGTTTAGCTTCCTGAGAGCTATTTTGATTTTGCCACAGTTAGCCTCGATCTTTTGCATTTTTGGACGGAACGAAAGGTAGTATCGGGAGGTTGGGGAAGATGAACAGTGTTTTTTCTCATCTAGTTATTATAAGGGTAGTTGGGGATTAAAAATATTGTAATGGCATTTTTGGACGGAAGGCTAACGGAAGAGGGTCTTTGTCTCATGGTCATAGTATAGGGGGTCTTTGTCATAGACCCCATAGTACAAGGGGGTCTTTGTAACTTTCCCTATCTTTTAAAATAAGCACTTTTAAGTTGGGTGCTGAAAGTAAATAAGTGATTATTCGAATAAGCACTTATGTTAACATAAGCACTCCCAAACATTAAGAGCTCTTATGATTACTCTGGAATAAAGCTTGACACCTACCTTGCATGTAAAACTTGAGTCGAGATTTGGTGTGATACAAGTATACAAACCTGGCTAAGTAACTAATTGACTCGTGAGTGAATAGGAGTGTAAGTTGGGCAGGTTTAAGTCAACCCATGCCCAAACCTAAATATTGGGTCTAAGGCTTGTAACTAAATCAGACCTGAGGTCAAGCCCGACCTTTCCGGTCCAGGCCCACTTGAACTAAAAATTGACATACTCTGGTCAGGCATAGGCTTGGGCTGGTCATTTGGTTTTCTATTTCAAAACAACAACAAAGAGCAAAGGGCTCAAGTGGTCTATTAAGCCCAATGTATTAAAAAAGTTGATAAAGTTATTTAGTTGTTTGGCATCGATGCTGTAGATACAACACCGTTTTCTGATGGTTCTGCTGATGTGTGGGTTGGAAGTACCATTTTCTGAGAAAATGATGTCTTTTTTTTTTTTTTTTGGAAACGTTGCTACCAGATAGGACATTTCCTGGAGCAACTGCAACATTTTTTGTTTGGTACGAATACTCTAGGAAACGTTTTGAGCACTAGTACCTATTACCCAATGCCACATCATGTCCCTGTTGGCAGCAACGAGCTGCAGCTCTAGGAAACACCAAATTCAGCGTTGCTTCAAGCCACGCCTTCCCGATTTCCAAGGTGTGGCTTGGAGCATCATTTTTTATGGAAAAACGGTTCCAAACAAGCAGGTATTTCCCGGAGCACCGTTTTTCCGATGTAGCACTGATGTGTCACCGTTTTCTAGAGCAACGACATTAATGCCAAACAGACCCTTAATATCACTAATGTAAACCTTTAAATAGGAATTTTGTATATTCTGCATATAAGCATTTATGCATGTGTATATAATTTAGTATATATGCATATATATAAATTAATAAGTATATGTATTTGTACAAAAAAAAAATGTATATGTATGTGTGTATGTAATTGATTCAGCTTGAGGACTGAAAGTCCAAGGCCAATCAGTGCAAAAGTGTGGGTTGGGTTGGTTTTGGCTTGAGTTAGGCCTGCCTAATTAATTGCACCCCATGAGTGAACATGCCGGTGTTTTGTATACATGGGGCAGACACCACACCCACATGCGAGCCCAATGTATACGGAATCCTAGTGTGTTTACACTTATGATTAGTTAGACAGCTTCTCACATTTGTATTCATAGTTGACCCCGGATGCAATCAAACCGAAGCAAGCTGAATTTGAATTTTTGTATGTCTTGACTCGGTTCAACTAAAATATTATTAAGCTTAAATTTGAGTCAAACTCTACTTTCTGGTTTGAGTTCCGTTTGATCAAATATTCAATGAGTTTGAATTTGACTTGAAAGCTAGAAAATGAATACATTTCATATTTTATAAATAAATTTTTAAATATATAATATATTCTTATATTATATATAGAATATAAAAATATATTTTATATATTATGAAACAATAAAATGTTATTAAAATATAGAATATTAATGAACTAATAAGAAAATAACAATAGATTATAATAAAACAATAAAAGTATATTAATAAAATAATATTGATAAATACTAAGATATTAATTATTAAATAGTTAAATACTTATAAAATAATAATAATAATAATAAAATAGTAATAAAAGAATAATTATTTTCATTATATATTGATAAATTACTAATAAAAAAATAAATAGACTAATAAAAAATTAAAAATTT